CCATTAAGCAAGCATTTATTTAGAACCATCTGTCTGTGACATCCTATGCCATTGCCCGAGTGACCTCAGTTTCACTCAGCTCTCCTCTGTAACCACGGTCTAGGTCCATATCTAATGACGTTCTTTTCTGCAGCTGCTGGCCTAACCACTATACCAACACCTGCAACTCCTCTGGGACCCACAGGACCTGGATACTGGGCAGGTGAGAAAATGGAAGCTTCAGTACCCTGGAGAGTGCTCGCCTAGTTTCACCCTTGCACCAAGGAGAGAATGTGCTGTCTAAAAGAGAGACCAATCCTAGGCCTTTCCAAACCTCCATCATTCATCTACAAAGCCAGGGCAAGGAAATATAGGACTCGGTGTGTTATATCAATCCGGAGTCCCAGATCACAAAGGCCAAAAAAGATTTAACTTTAAAGCCCTTGATCTCATACCTCACCAGAACAATCTTGTGGGAACTTGTTGTCTTGTGTCTCACTCAAAAGGCAAGGAAGATGAAAGCCAGTGGTGCCCTGGGGACAAGGCCCTGGCCAGACAAACTTTGGCAATGAAGGCCAGGGCTAGAAACATCCCTGTCCCCTCTCATAAGGGACATCCCTGAGCCTTCCAAAGCTCAGACAGGGTCATTTTCTCCCTCTTTTCTTGCAGTCAGTGATCCCAGACTGCAATCCTTTACCTTGAATTTCACCATCATCAATCTACCCTACACTGCAGATATGGGATACCCAGGTTCTACCACATTTAATAACACAGAAGGGGACCTCCAGCGACTGGTGAGATTTTGTACTTCCTACTCCGTACCTTCATACCTTAGCCATCCCCTATTTATCTGAGCATTCTCTAATCATCTTCCTTTGTCAGCTGGGCCCCTTGTTCAGGAATAGCAGCATTGGCTTATGCTACACTGGATGCAGACTGATCTCTCTGAGGTAAGACCCTAGAGGCTGATAGTTGGGAATTTGGGAGGCTTCTCCCCTGGGCCGCCCAAGATATGCCTTGGTCTCATACTAGACTTCCAATAAAAGTCACTTCCCTCTATGCTTCTGCTTGGGCTCTAGTACCCTGATTGTCTAATTCCCAAAGTGCTTTAATCCCCATCCACTGCTCCAGGTTTTCAGGAACATGATTTCCCTTCTAAGTCACTATGTAGAACAAGTTTCCTCTTGCCAAGATGGTTTCTCTCCATCGGGTACCTGTGGCAGTTCCACACACCTGCCCTTACAGCTAGTGGGAGTTGGCCAGTCATCCTAGTTAGTGTCACTTATTCCAAGTCACCTCGGGCACATCAGCCGATCTTCTCTAGTCTTTGTGACACAGTACCCCCAGGAAACATACAGTCATGCACTGCAACTTCCCTTTCCCCAGAAGGTGGGATTCCTGTCAGCTTTCACACTACCAACATCAGCACCGTGTCACATTCAATATGTCTTTTCACAGACCTGAGAGGGATGGATTGGCAAGTAGAGTAGATACTATATGTGTCTGGCAGAAAGGCTCCACCAACCCAATCTTCGATAGAGAGAGGATTTACATGGAATTGAGCAACCAGACTCATGGCCTCACTAAGCTGGGACCTTATACATTGGACAAAGACAGCCTCTGCCTCAACGGTGAGTAGTCACTCTTATTGCAGTGACAAAGTTTGGGCAATTTTCACTCAGTGTAAGTTTTTTGTCCTTGTTGCTTTGGGGTTTCTTCCTTTCCTCCGAGTGCCCCTTCCCCTGTGACCCCTTGCTGTGGACTAGTGTCAGGATCGTTGCTTCAAGAGGGGCTGGAGCTAGATGACTCTGAGATTCTCTGATGCTGTCAGCTGCAGCATGAGTCAGCAAGCTGCTGTTCCTCTCTACTGAAGTGAATCCGAGCTCTGATGAGCTAACACCCTCAGGTATATCCATTTCCCACCCCTGTAGCCACAGGGAAATGTTCAAATCCAAATTAATCTAAATTTGGTTGAGTTTTTAAAAATCCACCTTTGCTGTGCAGATATTTGGGGATGATGGCGTTTCTTAAGCAAAAGTGTCACCGCTTCTCAAAGGCGAGGGAAATTGATGCTCCGAGCCTGGCTGGGGCTGCTGCTTCTCTAGACTTGTATCTCCCCTTCCCCTCAACAAACAAAAACACCTCCCCTCCCACGTGCAATACTCACTCTCTTGGAATCTGCTGAAGGATACTTGCTGGTGAGATGGGGAGGCGAGTAAGTTATGATCAATATGAAGAACTCAGAGACACATGGAAAGATGTATGAAACAGATGTACAGTGAAGTGAGCTGAGTTCCAAAAGCAACATACACAATGGCTGCAGCATTGGAAATGGAAATGAACCAAATGGAAAGAACAAAAAACCCCAAACTCAGCTCTGTAAAATTAGAATGATCAAGCCTTGGCCCAGAAAAGAGTTGAGATGGGGGAATGCAAGTGGGCAACGTTGAATACTCTGTCAGAAAAAAAAAACACTTTATTACAAAGGAGACTCTCAGGGTGGGGGAAGGGAGGGTATATTCAGAAATGAATATAATATAAAAACAAAAAGGCATTAAGAAAACTTGAACAGACTTTTAAAACAAAACAATAAAAATAATGAGTGGGCCGGAAGGGCAGGCTCACTCCTCTCCCCAGCCTTTCATCTCTGATGTTGATTTCCAACGAGGCTGGCTTAGTATCCACTCTTCAATCCCAGGTTGCCAGTGGATTTTTGTGGGGTCCCTGTTTCTGACCATAACTTCCTAAAGAAAGCATGCCGAAAGGGAGAGTGCTAGATTTGGAATTAGAGGACCCAAGTTCAAATCCGAACTCTGGAAAAGTACCTTTCCCCCATTAGCCGCAGTTTCATTGTAAAATGAGGTTTAACTAAAGCCCACTCCTGCTCTGAGTCTGATGACTTGTTCCTCCCTCTACTGTAACTCTAGGCTATTCATCTCAGAGTACCCCTGGAGAAGGGGAATACCAACTTGCCTTTAGAATTGTCAGTCACAACCTTAGCAACCCTGACCCTACGTCCCCAGAGTACCAAGTGCTGCAGAGAGATATCCAGGACAAGGTAGGTTGCTGTGGCCACCCCCCCTCAACCAAGTTTCTTATTGACTAATCTTTGGCTCTCATCACTTATGGATGTCTTAAGAGGAAAGAAAAGGAAGAGAAGAGGGTATATATTAGCTCAGAGACAGGACATGAATAAGACCCCTATGTGCAGATTTGCTCATATTTCTCCTTTGCTTCAAACTCTGGTGGTTTCCCATTGAGTAAAGTTCGAGTGTTCTTGTATGGCATTCAAGGCCTTTGACAATAATCTAACACCACTCACCCTTTTCAGTGTTCTCTATTACTCAATGCTAGTCCACACTCCAGCCAAACTAGTCAACTCTCTGACTCAACCAAACATGACGTGTTCTCTCCCTCCTCTGTGCCTTTGTTTATGCTGGTCCCTAGATCGAGCATGTCCTCGTGCCCCTTCTTCACTTGCTGAATTTCCTGTCCAGCCTTTAAACTCCCCCTCAAATACCACATCCTCCAGGAAGCTTTCTCTGATTCCCCTCCCCTGGACCCAGAGCCCCAGTTCATAACAACCATTCCCTCAGGTCTTCACAGAGCACCTCTGCTTTCATGTCATAGAGTATTAAGAATCCTCTGTGTCTCTGTCTCATCCTCTTACTAGACCGTGAGCCCCATGATGCTTTTGTCTTATCCAAACTTTGTACTTTGTATTTCTTCCAGTCTAAGTACAGCCCTGTGCAAGCTATAGATAGCGAATATTTGTTGAATATAGGACATATTTGGTCATTATAAAAGAAGGTCCATGGCTGAGAAAATGATATCCAACGTCCCTTATTTCCATTACCTAGAAGAACGTCTCTGTAAATCTTGGGGAAAAGAGAGGGGAGAGAGGGAGGGTTGAGAGAGAGACAGAGAGAGAGTAAGAAGAAGGAGGAGGAGGACAGAGACAGAGAGAGAGGGAGGAAGGAGGAGGAGGAGGAGGACAGAGGCAGAGAGAGGCAGAGAGAGACAGAGAGCGAGCGCCTGTGGGCCTATCCTCATACAGCTTTTCGAGCTCCCAGAGTGGACCCCTCAGAGCTTTCCAAGCTTTCCTCGGGTGGCTGGGGTGGGGAGAGGCACAGGGATGGGGGTACACTCTGCTCTAGCATGCTGCTCTCCATTTCAGATGACACAGCTGTACGCAGGCAGCCAGCTCCAAGACAGATTCCGCTACTGCCTCATCACAGGCCTCAGGTAGGTGTGGCTCTGGCCAGGAAAGCCACGCCCCCCCCACTATCCCTCCCCCTCTCCCCCCTTCCACACTGCCCTAGTGCTGGCACTTAATGGATAATTGATTGCTCTTCCCCGACCCCTGCCAACCCCATCATTGGCTCCATCTGGGCCAGCCTCCCTGCTGGCTTCTGACAGCACTGAGATCTATGATCTAAGACTCCTTGGGGACACTCAGGACAAAGCTAGCTCTGGACAGGCCAGATTTATTTCCAGTGTCCTTGTGAAGATACAAGAAATGAGACTTGGCACAGCCAATCCTGCCTCTGGTTCTGTCCCTCCAAGTGGGGCCTAGTGGCAGGTCCCAAACAGATTGCAGAATCCAGTATTGGGATGAAGTGCAGAGGATGTCTAGTGCACCTTAGACCTGAACAAGACTCCGTAATACCACATGGCTGACAAATGGTCATCCATCCCTTGTCTAAAGACCTCCAGTAAGAGAGAACTCATCTCTTCCCATGGCCGCCCCTTCCACTTTGGGGCAACTCTAACTGTTTTTCCGTTCATCAAAATCAATTTGACTCTTGGCAAGGTATAACCCTGGATGCCTGGGGTCCCACCTCCTCATGGTCCTCCCCTTAATCTTCCCCCACCCCAGGGACTTCAATATGCCCTGCCCTCTCCCTCCTCTAGGCCTCCCCAGGATGTTTAGCCTCCTTTGGGCTTTGTTCCCCACCTCCTCCCTCTCCCTCTCCAGCCCTTCCCCCCATGTCCATGCTTGGTATCCCCTCTTGTCAGGGCTCAATTTTACTTTTCCAGTCGAGCTCATAAACCTTTGTGGCTCGTGAATTAGTAAGTGCTAATGGTTTAATGTTACACAAACCCCTCAAAAAGCACCTCAAGCAAACACAGATAACAGATTTTGCCCCTCAACTTCTCAATTTAATGTCTTCAGATTCTGATTAGAGAACCAAAGTTTGAATCACAGTTGCACTGTAGGAGGAGGGGGGAGGGAGGAGAGGGAGAGAGACAGAGACAGAGAGAAAGAGAGAGAGAGAGAAGAGAGGGGAAGAGGGAGAAAGGGAGGGAGAGAGGAATGGATGGAGAGAGGGAGGGAGAGAGACTGAGGGAGGGAGAGAGACTGAGGGAGGGGGAGAGACAGAAGGAGAAGAGAGAGGGGAGAGAGAGAGAGAAGAGAGGGGAAGAGGGAGAAAGGGAGAGAGAGAGACTGAGGGAGGGGGAGAGACAGAGAGAGAAGAGAGAGGGGAGAGAGAGAGAAGAGGGGAGAGAGAGAGAAGAGAGAGAGAGAGAAAGAGAGAGAGAGAAGAGAGGGAAAGAGGGAGAAAGGGAGGGAGGGAGAGAGGAATGGACGGAGAGAGGGAGGGAGAGAGACTGAGGGAGGGGGAGAGACAGAAGGAGAAGAGAGAGGAGAGAGAGAGAGAGAAGAGAGGGGAAGAGGGAGAAAGGGAGAGAGAGAGACTGAGGGAGGGGGAGAGACAGAAGGAGAAGAGAGAGGGGAGAGAGAGAGAAGAGAGAGAGAGAGAAAGAGAGAGAGAGAAAAGAGGAAAGAGAGAGGGAGAGAGAGACAGAGAACCAGAGGAGAGAGACAGAGAGGGGAGAGAAGGGAAGAAGGAGAAAGGGAGGGAGAGAGAGAGGGATGGAGAGAGGGAGGGAGAGAGAATTCTAGAACTGGAAGAAACCTAGGAAGCTCACAAGCCATCTAGTCCAGCCTCCTGTTTTTGCCCATAAGGAAAATGAGGCGGATCAAGACCAAGGGACTTGCCCAAGGTCACAAGGTAGTGAGTGGCAGAGGCAGGATTTGAACCCAGTCCTCTGCCACCAGACCCAGAGCCAGTGGTCTCTTCTAGGCCATCATGGGACTAGATAATCAGTGGGGTTCCTTTCTACTCTAAATCTTTGCTCCTGAAATTCTGTGATTCTGACTGTCAGAATTTCAGAGTAAACATTTGGGGGTGAGGAGACCTTGTTTGTGTAAGTCCTTAGATTATATCCCACAGATGACTGTATCCTGGGCCAGATTTGGTGCCTGTCCTGACTGTGATCACTTCCCCTGAGGCGATGTCCACCTGCTCTGTGCCTCTGGACAGTCCTGGAGGAAAGAGTGCAGCCAGGACAGCTGACACCTTCTCAGGCCTTTTGAATAGAAAAATAGTGCCCCAGGCAAGGGAGATGGAGGTCCCAAGTGGCCCCCATCAGGAAGGTTGGGTCCAGTTCTGTTCACCACATTTCAGGAGGGATAGAGGAGGGTGACTAGGAAGGGGAAGGGACTCTGAACCTCGTTCTATGAGGATGAGCGAAAGCAACTCAACTGGTGGTTTCCCTCACTGAGTCACAGGAGCACTGGGGGGTCTTCATACAGAGGTTGGATTACCACTTGTCAGGGATGTTGTTGAGGGGTACAGGTCTAGCTGGCCACTGAGTTCCCTCCCGATGCTGAGATGCTGTGATTCTGCAGCCTCAGGATACAGGAGAAAAATCTTTCACTGCTGGGATGCCATCATGGGGCAAAGCAAGCAGACTTGCTCTATGGGATTCCGGTGAGGAAAATGAGGGCGAGTGGGGGCAGTTGTACAGAAGATAGATTATCGTGAGAACATGCTTAAATCAGAGCTGCTTGTGGCTGAGCAGAGGAGACAACAAGTAACCTGTCAGGAATACTCTAGGAGAGTTCTTTCCCTGCCATCAGGTGAATGGATCCCCAGTGCCTAGAACAGCACCTTGCACATAGTAGGTGTTCACTAAATGCTAGTTGATTGATCAACTGATCTCTGAGGTTTTGTGGACTCCTCGCACCCTGCCTCCCTGGGCTACAGGGCAGAAAACCTCCTCAACTCACCACAGGGCTGTTGACTTTGTAGACGAAGGCCACAGTGGCATGGGCAGCTGGGGTCCCATCTGTGCCAGACCCCTGGCCAAATGCCCTGTAATCTTGCTTCACAGGATGGGCTCTGTGTACGTCACCTGCAACTGCAGCTTTTCCTCCAACTTGGATCCTGACACCATCGGACGAGTGTTTCTGGACAGGACCCAGGATGCCACAGAACACTGGCTTGGAGACTCCTACAAGCTGGATAACCTCCAAGTGACAAGTAGGGGGGCCTGAATGGCCAGGGGTAGGGGGAGAGGAAGCTGCAGTGGGGATGGGAGATGGGAAGGGGGCTCGTGGCAAGCAGAAGCAGAAGAAAGCACTTGGGAAGCTTGTACCCCAGGAAGTGGGGGTGAAATGAACATTTAGGGGATTCAAACAGTGTTGAGCTAGGAAGTTCCTTAGAATATAAGGTATAACATGACTGAAATAGGAAGGTTCTTAGAACCTAAAAAGTCAAAGCTGGGAGAGCCTTTAGAACAGAGATTGGCACAGGCTGGAGGGTCCTTAGAACACAGGATGTCAGAGGTGGGAGGGCCCTTAGAACCCAGGATGTCAGTTTGGAGGAGCCTTAGCATATAGAATGTAGAAGGTTAGATTTGAGAAGGGCCTCAGAGACTCCAACTCTGTCATTTTGCGATTGAGCAAACAGATCTAGTGAGCAGATGTGACTTTGTCCAAAGTCACAGAGAGTTAGTGTCAGATCTGGGAATAAAACAAGTAGACTTCCAGACCACCCTTACACTCCCCCATCCCCAAACAAGGAGCTGGCTGTGCTGTCTGTTCAGGGCAGAACCTTATCCTCTTTCCACATGCCTTCTGAGAGTCCCAGCAATGAAGTCTTCCCTGAAGCCAAAGTGGAGGCCCCAAAGGGCCAGAGACCCCACATACCTTGTCCCCATCTATCCCTTTAGGCTCTCCCTTTCTCTCTGTTCCTTTGTGGATGTCCAAACTTCTTTCATTTAAAAAAAATTTATTTAGTATCTCAAATGAGGTAATATTTCCAAAGTATTTAGCACATAACAGGTGCTTAACAAATGCTTGTTCCTTTCCTTTTCTTTCTTTCTTAAAATTTAATTTAATTTATTTTTTGTTACATTTTAAGTTCCAAACTGTCTGTCTCCTTTCCTCCCCACCGTCCATCAGAGAAAGACACAGATTTATAGATATAAATATGCAAAACCATACTATGCATTCTTCTTTCCCCTCCTCTCCCCTCCCCTCCTCTCCTCTCCTCTCCTCTCTCCTCTCCTCTCCTCACCTGGGATTTCATAGGCACAGAGAACTCCACTGAGGGAACTCCTTTTACCAGTGCATATTAATATATGCTTTGTACCTTAGAGTCTTAGAGAGTGACATTGA